CTTTGTAGGGACATGGATGAACCTGGAAACCATCATTCTCAGCAAACAGACACAAAAACAGAAAATCAAACACTGCACGTTCTCACTCATAGGCAGATGTTGAACAATGAGAACACATGGACACAGGGAGAGGAGCATCTAACTGTTTTTTATATGTACTAATGCATTTTATATCTGAAATGTTGTAATATAGTCACTTTTATTGTCAATAAGAAAATTGAGGCATCAAATGTTAAGTAGCTTGCTTAAACATCTAATAACTGGTGTTACTGATGGCAGAGCACATTCATGCAGACTGACTCCAGAGCACCCCCCACACACTCTTAACTTTAATGCTATATTGCTACCTATAATATATAGGTATATAACTTATATTTGAAAAATTATATGAATTTATATATAAACATATTTATAAAGTATGCTTATATATGTAAATCATATTTATAAATATAAATATATGTAATTTTTACTAAGAAACATAAAAAAGCAGAAAAAAATTCATTTAAAAAAACAAAACTCTAAACTCTAGAAATTTTCAGTCAAATTAGGAAGAAAAAGTGCAAATCAAATCTTCAAATCTTACAAATATATTTCTGCCTGACAATCTTTCCTGACTGAAGCACATTTCAGCATTTTTCTCAGCCCTCCTTCAGCATTCTGCCCCATAAGAAATGGAAATGACTATAAATCCATTATGGTCATTTACTTATGAATTTTTTAATTTGTAGCATAATGGTCATGCAATGGCTTAATCCAGAAAGATAATTAGGTCCACCCTAGGTATGTCCATTAATTATTTAAAGCATATATTTTAAGCCACACTAATATCACTAATTTAAGATGGGCTCTATAGTTGGTATCAGGTCAAGAAAGGAAGTAGAAGTAATCATTCATCTCTACAGGCTTACCCCCTCACTTTATGCAGATTTCTGCCCAACTGCACCTTAGTACAGGACCCTTGATGTTACAATAATAGTAATAATAATAACACCTGTCCCTCAATTTCTTCCTGTATTCACTCTCATCCTTACATGCCATATTTTTAATTCTTAGCATTTTTATTCCCCAACATATTACATATAGACTATTTCTTTTCTGGTTTCCTCATCATTTCCTACAATAAATTTATTGACTATAGTACTGACTATTTATGAAATAGGAGCCAGTACTATAAGTACTTACAGTACTGTAAGAATTATGTCAAATTCTCAGCCTGTTTGAAAACAACATTTCAGTCTCAATTATTTTTAGTCTTCATCTTCATATGTTGAAATGTCCTGGGACTTTGTTCTCAGACCTTTTTGCTTTGTCGCAATCCCTTCTTTGGTCATCACATCCAGTATCTTGTCTTTGAATACCATCTCTATGCCGACAAAATCCAAATTAATATTTGTAGTTCAGACTCATCCCACTCAAGTAGTGCTGTGTATCAGCAGCACTACTTCATTGTCTCATAATTATCTTAGACTCAACGTCTAATGTATCCTAATATTCCCATCAAGAAAAAAGCATGCTCACCCAGTCTTCCCTAACTCAGTAATTCTACTTTCCAATTTGCTGAGACAAAGCACTTAGAGTTATTCCTGATGCCTTCCCATCATTCTTATGCTACATCTAAACTATTAGTGAATCCTGGTGACCTTTTCTTCTAGATATCTCAGACATTAATGTCAAAAATTAAGTCACTTCATACCTCTATTGGTACCACTCTGATGAAAGCCGTCATCTTGGACCTGAATTATTATAACAGCCTTCTAATGAATCTTCCTTCATCCACATTTGCTTTACAGTCTATTTTCCCCCACAGTGAAGTTAGACTTATTAGTTTAATACCCAAGGCAGATCAAGTTCAATATATTCCAATGGCATCCTGTTTTACCCAGGAAAAATTCACAGTCACTTGAAAAGCATATAAAAATCCATAAGATCTATCTTCCCTCCATCAGCCCAATATCATCTTCTACTACTCTGTCAGTGATTCACCCTTTGTCACTCACACTAGCTTCCAAATATTTTCCTAAACTCATCAAGCATGCTTCAACATCAGCGCTCACACTTGCTGTTCTCACTACCTGGAATGTTCGTCCTCCAGAAACCCACATGACTTACCCCCTCACTTCATACAGATCCCTGCTCAAGTACACCCTTTTACAGGGCCCTTGATTTTATAAAATAACAACAACTACAACAGGGAGCTCAATTCCTGCCTAGATTCGCTCTCATCTTTATCTACCTTATTTTTTATTTTAGCATTTTTATGCCCTAGCATATTACATGTATGTCATTTATTTTCTGGTTTCATTACCACAAGATAAGGTTTTTGAGGATAAAGAATTTGTTTTATTCATACTATCTCCCAGACCTAAAACTGCCACTAATTAGTAAAAATAGTCAAACATCTTAGTGATCTGGCTCTGTTTACCTCTCAAGCTTCACTGCTTCCCCTCTGTACAGTGCTGCAGAGACAACGAACAATTTGCATATTCTGAGTCCCAGGACAGAATGTCCTGTCCCTTTTAAGCCTTTACACAGCTGTTACCTCCACCTGGAACATCTCAGTGCCTCCCTTGTCCTGACTTAGAATAGCAGGGGCTCTCCTTCAGGAACGCTTCCTGATCTCTCCAGTGGGCCTCGTGCCCTTTCCAGGTGCTCCTGCAGCACCTTGTGCTTCTTTCTCAAGACAACTCCTTCCAAACTCTCTTGTCACCACAATTCTGAGCTCACTTCTCAGGGTCAGGGACAGGGTCTATTCACTGTTGTTTCCACATTTCTATTTATAGTGTCTTGTCCATTGTAACCTTTAGTCTTGATTGAATTAATGAATTAATAGTGTCTTTGATGCATAAGGATTTGAATGGCACACAAGAAGACAACAAAGTTCTCATATACTGGAAAGTTCTTCATATCTACAAATAGATTTTCATGAAGTTTCACATTTTGGAGAATACTGTGCCAAGTACTGCCCTTTGGTATAAAACGTTCACTCTTTTTCATATGACCTAGTATAACCTGATCCTAATCTTCTGAAGCCTTACTTTCACTTTCCTATATAAAATTTGCTTTGTCTAGTGAATGAATGTAGGTAAGAGTAAAAATTAGGAGGCCACTTTAAAAAGGTGATTTATAGTTTGAATAAACTACCAGTTTATTTCTATGTATTTCTTTCCCCTTCTAGTCCCTAATGTGTACCCCCAAAAATCATCATTACATATCTATAACTCACAATGAACCAAAAACTAAAATCCAGAGAAGCTACAGGCAGGTCCAAAGTAGAAAGAGGGAAAAGCTCAGATGACATAGGCTTACAGACTAGATTAGATTATTTGTTTATTTGTTTCCACACACTACTACTAGAGAAGATGGTGTGCGGAGGAAGAGAACAGAGAAGCCAAAAGGGAAAATAGAGCTGAGGGAAAGGATACAGGTACTCAAGAGTCCTAAAAATGGAAAGGAGAAAAAGGAATGTCAATCTCAAGGAAAACTGAGATGTTCACACAACTCCTGCAGATTCTCTTCCCCCACCTCGCCCCACAGATGCTAACCTGTGGACAGTCCTCCTGTCCAACAATCGTGGCAGCTTATAAGCTTTCATCTATGGGAAGTTGGTATGTGGACACCAAGACTGGGTGGGTTGCAGAACAAATGTCATGCTCTGACCAAGGTGGACAAGCTCACAATGAGTAGGAGACTTTCCTAAAAGCCAAAACACTCGTAGTCACATGGCCACTGTTACAGCTACTTGAATATGGTAGTGGTGGTAAAGATGGAAATAAGAGGAAACAGGCAAAAGATTTTTAGAAGGAAAAATAGACAAGATCAGTTGAACAATTGGACATGAGGGATGAGAAAATGTTGTGTATCTTAAAAGTTTCTGTCTTACCTGACTAAATTCATAAGCACATCCACTCCTGTCCTCCTCAAATTCACCCTTCCTAACAGCTTCTAAAACAGCAATCTGAAACACATGTCTACCTATGATATCTCTGCTTAAAAACATTTATTCACCTCCCAATTCCTACAGGATGAAGTCCTTGAGTTCACAGCCTAACATCAGTTCACATCTGTTCACCTCTTCAATTTCTCTTCCCTTTTTGGTTGACTCCATGCTTCAGGCAAGCCACAACTGTTAATTCCTCTATAGAGAATTCTGTTTCCTTCATGATTTTCTGTCTGCTAATACCCTCTTTTTGGACTCACCCAATGACTAAATAAATGCCCCTCTCGAGTTCCCACTAAAATGTGTGGCTTTCACATAAAAAAGGATGAGTTCATGCCCTTTGTAGGGACATGGATGAAGCTGGAAACCATCATTCTCAGCAGACTAACACAAAAACAGAAAACCAAACACCGTATGTTCTCACTCTTAAGTGGGAGTTGAACAATGAGAACACATGGACACAGGAAGGGGAACATCACATACTGGCACCTGTTGGGGGTTGGGGGCTAGGGGAAGAACAGCATTAGGAGAAATACTTAGTGTAGATGACTGGTTGATGGGTGCAGCAAACCACCATGGCACATGTATACCTATGTAACAAGCCTGCACACTCTGCACGTGTATCTCAGAACTTAAAAGTATAATAATAAAAAGACAAAATAAAAAAATAAAACTCTGAGAAAAAATAATCTGTGGCATTCATTGCTCTTCTATGCCATTTCGGGATTGTTTGTGTAGGTGTCTGTGAGCACCTTGAAGGCAAGGACTTTGTCTTCTTCATCTGTCTCACCCCTAAACTCAGCACAGTGCCTCCACAAAACTAGCATTGAGAATGTGCTTATTACACAATGAATGAATCAATTAACTCCATTGCCAGATCTAGGTGACCAGTAAATACTTAATGGCTGATTGATAAGAAAGTAATTCTGTTTCTGTGTTCAGAGATTACAGTGACAATGACAAAGTAAGACTCACGTGTGAGGCACACTTAGGATGGCAGACAGAACAGGTCAGTGTTAAATATTAATAAAGTATACGGGTACCCCTGCTGAGTGTGATGTAGGGAACATGTCACTGGAAGAGAGCCATCAAGCATCCTGAGGTACTGAGAATACCTTAATATCCTGGAGAGGGTAGTTGGGGTGATTTTTTCATCTGTTTTACTTATAACATTGTAACCCTTTGACAAACATTTGTTTAATGTGAATAAACGAAGAGTCAGAATACCTGGTCCTCCAACCAATATTATCACTAATTAACTATATGACCTAGGACAAAAAGCTGTCATCTTATCTGGGCTTTATCTGTAATCCAGGAGAAATGAAGAGCAGCTTTTCTACATTAAGGGCTGTCTCGTCAACCAGAAGAAAGGATAGGGAAAGATATGGAGAAGTGCATGCCCCTATTTTGAATTATGGGACTATACTTTTGTATTTTCAGAGAAGATGCAAACTCCTAAAGCCCAAGGACCATGCCTAGTCACACATGTTGTCTGTTGTGTCTAGAGAGTGGCTCATGAAGAAACACCTTAACCCTGTGGCTGACAGTGTGTGCTTGGGTTAGCTTGAAGGAGTGAGAGCGAATTGTCGAAAAACCCATATATGTGAGTGTGGGAGTGATAGCAGAGGCAATGGGTGCTTTGAGATTGCTCACTCTGGACAGGAACAGTGGGAAGCCTGTGAAAATGGCACACAGGGGGACATGGAGATGTTTTTCTTCTGTCTGCCAAGTCCCTGGGGCATCAGTTCATTCTCTCATAGCCTGTTTTCATGGGCTTTCTGAGTAGCATTATAAAAAGGTCTGAACCAGAAAGCAAAACTAGCTACAGCTGCTCTTTCTAAGTAGGACTGTATCATTTTCAGGTGAGTGCACCCTCATCTGGGGTCAGGCAGACTTAGCTCCTGCCATCCTAAGGGATCTTGAAGACCTCACATACTGCTTCATGGCAGGGTAGAGAGGAGCCCTTGTATCCCATCCACAGCTTTACAGGCTGGGAAGAAACGTCCCAGAGTCTTAGCTAACAATCAGGAAAGGCAGGTGAGAATAAATACAACAACCACATTCAGACCCAAAGGGAAGCTGAAATCAGGTCTAGCAGGGAGTCTACTTTAGGCAGGATGCCAGGCAACATGGGAGGGTGATGTGAAGTCTTTCAAGATAGGTATTTTGGGAGATGAGGTGATGTCTGAAAGTGCTAGACTCTAGTAAGGATGTGCAGGTACCAGCATAACACAGAAAAAAACATGCTCTGCAAAGAGAGGGCTTAAGAAAGTGCCCAACTCTGGGCCAATAGGGACTCTTGTTATCTGTCAGCACTGCATGTGGTAGCATGGGCAAAAGGCATTGAGGAAGTAAAAATACGTCACTGTGCTCCCCTTGCTCCCCCTCCATGCCTGCTCTTTTCTTCACCTTGGGTCCCATTTCTCTGGGACACAGTGGTCTAGTGATCTGGCCTCTCTTCGGGGCAGATTCCTTAGTTCTGTCCTATACGTTTCAGAATGATTTGTTTGAATTTCTGCATCCCCTTCTTCAAGCTATGATGGATACAGAAATGGATGAATAGATGCAAGATGCAAGCTATCTTTTTTTTTTATGCAAGCTATCTTGTATCTCACTAAAGGATGCAATCATCTGCTCCTGAAAAGGACTTTTCATGTTGTGATAGCAACTTGGAATCAAATATGGAATTTAATATTTGTCAAAGAGCTTAGCTATTTTGTCTGTGCAAGTTCTGAAGGTGGAAAAGAGAAAATAGAAGCCAGAAGTATGGGATTTGTAACCTTTGAACCCGGAATCTGTCCTTCCTTGCTTATGTAAGATGGGGAGAATCCAATTCAAATCTCTTTATGCTAATTTTATCATATTGTATTTTAAGACCACTGGTATCTAACCCGTCTCCATTAAGACCAAATTGAAGGGCATCTCCTACCTGCAGTAAGAACTCAGATGATGAGTGAAGAATTCTGGGGTGGGAGGTTGCAATATAAGCAGGTTAACCTGTTTCAATGAAACAGATAGTCAATGAAGACACCTGCATAGTTTATTTCCAAGAGTTAGAGCTTCTGCTTCTTGCAGCCAAGGCTTTGGATTTTTAGAGAAAATTATCTCTAAAGATTAGGTCACCCAGGAAACCTAGCAGAGAAGAAGTTTCATGAAGTCAGAGCCCAGGTGTGTGAGCGAGGGTAGGGAGTTGGGGTAAAGCAACACTGGGCTTCTAAAAAAGAAATGTCTCCCCTGAAATGAATGACTTACTGGCACAAGTTTCAGGAAAGACAAGGCTCTAAAAATATTATCGTAAAATTAATAATACTTCTCCCAAAGTAAAGACTCAACTCAAACTATCCTTGGATGCAATTAAAATGGCCTTGTAGGAAGCTTTTGGGTGTGGAGGTACTCACCAGCGTCCTACCATCACCTTCGTCTATGAAGACGTCATTGGAGGGAGCCACTACTTTTGATTTTATGACCACAGATGAGTTCCTTTTAATCCTAAAGATATTGACTTTTGGCATTATTTTTCTTGGTTTTTGTTTGTTTATGTTCTTTTAAGCTTTAAAAAACAATGCCATTGCTGTGCATCTTACTCCTCTGGCTGACCTTAGAATTGAGGACTGGGGATCCTGAACGTTGCAGTTATCTCCTATCCTCGCTGCCTTGGAAGACCCATTACTCCACTCTCTGTCTAATTCAACTCATGTTTCAAGTCTAAACAGGAAGATTCCTCTGTGATCATGCCTCTCCCAGAAGGAAGGAAGGAAGGAAGGAAGGAAGGAAGAAAGGAACGAACGAAAGGAGGGAGGGAGGGAGGGAGGGAAGTGCGGTAAGTAACATAAGAAAGGCAGCCTCATCTGGAAGGAGCTTCCAAAAGTGTATCTCTTAACACCTATCAGAAGAAAAGGGCCACCAAAGATATAGACCAGTAGGAAGTATCTGAGGGAATTTGAGAGGCTACATTTTGGAAAAAGCATTGCTCTCTCAGGGTTCCCTTTTAAAATTTTAAATAAACCTTGAGAGTAGTAATGCATAAATGAATTTGAGCTGTCACAGTCCCCACTTTGGAAGAGGGCCTCAGGGCTTATGAAAGACCCTAAGTGGGGGTGGGAGGAGACAAAAGGGGTAGGATGTCAGCTTCAAGATTCCAGGGCATTCTCTCTGATTGTGCTCTATGTCCCTGCAGACTGCCAGTGCAACCTCACCCTCGCCAGTCACCTCTCCTCAGTTCCAGCTATGAGTTCCTGCAACTTTACACATTCCACCTTTGTGCTTATCGGTATCCCAGGACTAGAGGAAGCCCATTTCTGGTTTGGCTTCCCCCTCCTTTCCATGTATGTCGTGGCAGTATTTGGAAATTGCATTGTGGTCTTCATCGTAAGAACGGAACGCAGCCTGCACACTCCAATGTACCTCTTTCTCTGCATGCTGGCAGCCATTGACCTGGCCTTATCCACATCCACCATGCCTAAGATACTTGCCCTTTTCTGGTTTGATTCCCGAGAGATTAGCTATGAGGCCTGCCTTACCCAGATGTTCTTTATTCATGCCCTCTCAGCCATTGAATCCACCATCCTACTGGCCATGGCCTTTGACCGTTATGTGGCCATCTGCCACCCACTGCGCCATGCTGCTGTGTTCAACAATACAGTAACAACCCAGATTGGCATTGTGGCTGTGGTCCGTGGATCCCTCTTCTTTTTCCCATTGCCTCTGCTCATCAAGAGACTGGCCTTCTGCCACTCCAATGTGCTCTCACACTCCTATTGTGTGCACCAGGATGTGATGAAGTTGGCCTATGCAGACACATTGCCCAATGTGGTATACGGTCTCACTGCCATTCTGCTGGTCATGGGTGTGGATGTAATGTTCATCTCCTTATCATACTTTCTGATACTACGAACGGTGCTGCAACTGCCTTCCAAGTCAGAGCGGGCCAAGGCCTTTGGGACATGTGTGTCACACATTGGTGTGGTACTTGCCTTCTACGTGCCACTTATTGGCCTCTCGGTGGTGCACCGCTTTGGAAACAGCCTTCATCCCATTGTACATGTTGTCATGGGTGACATCTACCTGCTGCTGCCTCCTGTCATCAATCCCATCATCTATGGTGCCAAAACCAAACATATCAGAATGCGAGTGCTAGCTATGTTCAAGATCAGCTGTGACAAGGACCTTCAGGCTGTGGGAGGCAAGTGATCCTTAGCATTAACTTCCCCGTATCTTCAATGGCTTGACAAACATAATTATTTCTAACACTTGCTTGGTTCCAGTTGCCCACAAGCACATCAGTGCTTTTCAATGGCTGGAATAATCAACTAAAATATGATCCATCTACTTAGAAGACTATTATGTGGAATAATACATATTAATGGAGTATTAGGTGATTTAAAGACAACTATAAAACCAAACGTGCTTATAATGTTAAGAAAAACAATAAAGATACTTGATTGAAGCCAAGTTGAAAAATAGCATATGCCTTGGAGGAAATGTCCTCAGATTTCTAATGATTTTGTGTTGTCTCTACTTTCAATTTTTTTTATTATGAAAGTATTGGTTAACTGTCATGTACAACTTTTTAAAGAGGAAATATAATAGCTGGGCATGGTGGCATGCGACTGTAGCCCCCACTGCCCAGGAGGCTGAGGTGGGAGAATCACTTGAGTCCAGGAGTTTGCGGTTACAGTGAGCCACAATCACACCACTACACTTCAGCCTGAGCAGCAGAGCAAGACCCTGTCTCGAAGCATAAAACGTAGTATCATATCAAATGAAACAGCGAAAATGAAGCTGACCAATTTATGGAAGTCAGGGCTTGTCACAGTCTCTACTGTTATTATGCATTATTTGGGAATTTATATAAGCCCTGAATCATAATGCCTATGAATATATCATGTGCACTTACAATGTTCTGGGCACTATTATAAGTGTTTTATGGGTTTTATGTGCTCTTCCTAATTTTATGGAGTAGGTACCATTTGAGTCCCTTTATTATAATTGAGAGAAATGAAGTTTATATTAGCAAGGGGACTAAAGTCACACAGCTTGTGGGCACTGTGCCAAGATTTAAAATTAAATTGGATAATTGAATACAGTTACTTAACTACCATATTATATTGCTTCCTGTGTAACATCTGCCGTTTATTTCCTCAGCTGTACAAATCCTCTGTTTTCTCTCTGCCATACGCTAACAGCAGTGGCTCTGTACTTGTGGTGAGAGATAACCCTGCCCTAGTAGTGGACAACAAATCTAGAATATTCTTCCTGTTTTACAGCCACCTTTCATGGTCTTATTGCTTGGTTCTTTCCAGATTCAGGGAGAATGTTGTGGTATAGCTGATCCTTGATCATGTCTTCATTTTTAGTGTGCTCTGTGCCTGTCAAAAATTTTGAATGTACACCACATGCTATTGTCTGAACTTAAGTATGAGATAAAATAAAATTTTATTTTAAATTTTGCTGAGTGTTATACCTATTGATTTTACATTTATAGAATCCTATAAATCAGAATTGGAGATGTGAGAGATTTCCTAGTCTTCTTTCTCACCAGTGCAGGAATCCTGACTGGAATCGTTCACACAGTGGGAAGGATGCTGAATGCATCTTATTTCAAGGTAGGATATTCCCACTGTACTGTAAAGTAGATCCAGTGAGCAGCTGAAATCTCAATACAATCGTTGGGCCTTTATGTTCCATCCGTAGCTTCACTAAACAGGTTTTGGGTGCAGGACTTGGGTAGATAAACCACGAGGGAGACTCCATACTGTAGGCTCTCTCCTAGGGGAAGGGAACCACAGGTACTTGATGTCTACTGATGATGGGCTCTGCTAGCATATAGATATGTGAGCATTCCACTGTGCTTCATCATTCAGAGGCAGTAAAGTGGCTTCCAAAGTCACGCAGTTAATCTATATGCATGGGCCAGGACTAAGAGGAGGAAACACAATGGAATAAATGGGTGATTTCTCTGAAGAAATGAACGCGTACCCATGCTCTGTAAAAGTGGAGATTCAGGTGTTGGGCCCCACTCTCAAATAAGGTCAGGTGCCTCATTTTACGTTAGACTCTGTTATGTCTCTCCACACAATCTCAGCCCGCTCCTATCTTCCTGTCCATTCCTTTACCTCAATTTATAGCCTTCAGCCAACTTCCATATGCCTAAGAACATAGCCATGTTGACAATTTATTGAATAGTAGATTTCTTTCTCTCTCTTCTGTGAACAGCTAATCCCTTACTGTCTCCCAGCATGATCCAAGTTGTTTATATACTCTTGCCATATTCCCTCCCCTTCCCTCTGTCCTAAGATTTTTAACTTTTAAAAGTAGCCCAGGCCAGGCATGGTAGCTCATGCCTGTAATTCCAGCACTTTGGGAGGCTGAGGTAGGCACATCACCTGAGGTCAGTAGTTGGAGACCAGCCTGGCCAATAGGCATGAAACTCCATCTCCACTAAAAATACAAAAATTAGCCAGATGTGGTGGTGGGTGCCTGTAATCCCAGCTACTCTGGAGGCTGAGGCAGGAGAATCACTTGAACCTGGGAGGTGGAGGTTGCAGTGAGCCAAGATTGCTACCACTGCACTCTAGCCTGGGTGGCAGAGTAAGACTCTTTCTCAAAAAAAAAAGACTTCTGTGCCAATGTTTATAGCAGCATTATCCACAATAACCAAAAGGTAGACACAACCCAAATGTCCATCAACCAATGAATGGATAAACAAAATGTGGTTTGTACACACAGTGGAATATTATTCATCCTTAAAAATCTGGTACCTGCTACAACCTGGATGAACCTTGAAAACGTTATGTGAAAATAAAATAAGTGAGATGACAAAAGGACAAATGTTATATGATTCCACTTATATAAGTATCTAGAATAGGCAAATTTATAAAGAAAGAAAGTAGAATGCAGCTTACCAGGGGCTGGGGAAGGGGAGGATGGAGAGTTATTGTTTATGAGTACAGAGTTTTCATTTGGGATGATAAAAAAAAGTTCTAGAAATATTGGTTATGGTTGTACAACAACATGAATTTACTTAATGCCCCGAATTGTACACATAATGTTTAAAATGTTAGATTTTATGTAACGTATGTTTACCACAATAAAAATTGCCAAAAATAATGTAAAACCCTGGTTATCAATTTTATCTTAAGAATATGTTGAAATGATTATATTTTAGCAACGTTGGGTTTAAAATATTAAGGTTTTTCAAAGAGTAGCTTGAAGAGGATGATATTTAGTTCAAAGTAATAAAACTTTAATAGTAGGACTACCAAGGTTGTAACAGGGCCATTATTTATAGTGGCAATTTTTATAGCCTTCAAATCCCATCCTGAAGGATACCAGCTGTATGTACATCTGGTCACCTAGCCTAAGGCTGAGCAAACAGAAGGCAGGAGACCAGGCTTCCTGGCACTGTGCACACTTGGGTAAGTCACACTTTCTCTTCTCCATTTTTCTGCCTATAACCTTATTGTAAGTTTCATTTCTCAGACAGCAATAGAGAAATAGAAAAAACCTTCCATTATACTTTGTGTAATTGAATTATACAATTCAATTATAATTATATAATTATACTATCAATTATCCTTCCATGACTGTCAAGCAATAACTTAGGAATACCTTACTGATTGGAATAATAAAGTTGTGATAACGTGGCTGAGAAAAAATTATATGACCTTGTGATGGCTAATATTACGTGTCCACTGGCTGGACCACAGTGCCCAGATACTTAGTCAGACATGTTTCCTGGATTTTTCTGTAAGGGTGATCTTTTCAGATGAGATTAATGTTTTAATCAGAGGACTTTGAGTAAAGGAGACTGCCCTCCATAATGTGGGTGGGCCTCATCCAATTAGTTGAAGGTCTTAATAGACCAGTTGACCTTCCCTGGGCAACAAGAATTCTCCCAACAGATGTGGCCTGAGGACTCACTTAACTGCCTGCCATGTTGGCTCCACGTTGACTCTACTGACCCACCCTGCAGACTTTGGATTCACTGGTCTCTACTGCATGAGCTGATTCCTCAACACAAATGTCTCTATTTCTCTATCTATTATCTATCTATGTATGTGTCTGTCTATCTATGTATCTCCTTTTGATTCTGCTTCTCTGGAGAACCCTGAGAAATACAAACCTAAAAGTTGTAAAAGAGGGGAAAGTTGTCCCTGTGAGCAGCTGACCTGTAAAAGGGAGAACTGAAAATTGAAAGAAAATCCATAAAAACCACAACATACAAAACACAAATTAAATTAACTGGGCCAACACAGTCTAAGGTCAGCATCACAAACTATCCAAGCCCAAATTCTTTCATTTCCTTTTTTTTTTTTTAAATACAGAGCTTCACTCTTATTGCCCAGGCTAGAGTGCAACGGCGTGATCTTGGCTCACTGCAACCTCCGCCTCCCAGGTTCAAGTGATTCTCCTGCCTCAGCCTCCTAAGTAACTGGGATTACAGGCACATGCCACCATGCCCTGCTAATTTTTTGTATTTTTAGTAGAGACAGGGTTTCACCATGTTGATCAGGCTGGTCTCAAACTGCTGATCTCAGGTGATCCACCCACCTAAGCCTCCCAAAGTGCTGGGATTACAGTCGTGAGCCATGGCACCTGCCCCCAAGCTCAAATTCTTCTGTAACAGTTTGTTCAGACCATGTGAATAAAGATGAAAGATAAACCGATCTAACCATAACTCTACATGAATTCACATGTTCCAAAGATAAAATCCCTGTGAAAACCATCCTATGAATAACCCCAGATTCCCCACGCTCCATAAATATACTTCCCTAACTCTCTCCTTTTGAAATACTTTGTTCCATTAATTTGTTCTTCTTAACTGTAGCAAGTTAATAATCTAACTTTTTTTGGCTACAGCTATGGCCTTAGTGGTCTTTAGCTACTGGATTTTAGCAAAATTTATAAACATGAGAATTCTTAAGCATGAGACAGAGGGTTATATAAAAAATTTCTGGAATTTTTATTTGGGGGTCCCAAAAGCAGTGCCTGAGACAGGACCTTGGGTGAAGGTAGTGTAATTAAGGCATGTTTCTAGAAAATAGGAGTGAGGGAACAGAAACAGTGAGACAAGGCGGAAGAAAATTCAGTACAGAGCTATTACCAAGATTGCTACTGTGGACAATGAGCACTCAACTCTGCCAGGACTCTGTTCAGAATACCTGAGAGAACTGTCTATCCAAAGGCTGGACCAGGGCATTTGCCGTCAACTGTCATCCTTGTTTGACTCAAGGTTGCCCCTGGGCTTTGCCTACTCCCGTGGCTTTGAAGAAAGTACAAAAGCAGAAAAGTATGGAGAGAGGACACCAATTTCAAGTGGAAGAAATACTCAGAATGAATTAAAATGTCTGTGACAGCCACCAGTAAAGTCAGAAGTGGGCCAAGGAGGTGTGACACTGGACACAGAGCATCTGTTCCAAGCAGCTGTGGGGAGTGAAGGGTGGTAAAGGCTTGAGAAATCTTGGATTCATATGTCTCTATTGCATTTAATATTACCATATACTGAAGGCTTACT